AAACCATTTCAGGTGACTACCTCTTGAAGCTCATGGAGAGAATGCCAAGAGTGTGCAAAGCAGTAATCAGAGCAAAGGGTGGCTATTTTGAAGAAACTAGAATATAAAACATGTTTTCAGTTATTTCACCTTTTTTTGTTAAGTACATAACTCCACATGTGTTCATTCATAGTTTTGATGCCTTCAGTGAGAATCTACAATGTAAATAGTCATGAAAATAAAGAAAACGCATTGAATGAGAAGGTGTGTCCAAACTTTTGGCCTGTACTGTATGTGCAGCATCTCCCCTGATTGTAACTATATCTTTCTTGACTTTGTTTCTTTTAATAATACAAGGCGATGGACGCCAGTTCTGGCTGCATGACTTAGCGCAAGCACGCATGCATGGCTCTCTGAAGAAGAAGTGATTTTTGACTGAAAGTCTCTTCTTTATCCAAGAGGGGGCAGCAGATGCTTATGGAAGAGATAAATAGTCTTCAGTGTTTGTAGAGCTGAAAATATGCTTGATTCATAGTTTATGATCACCACTGAGCTTGTGTTGTTTAGCACTTAAGTGCACATAGTCATCACAAATAATCATTCAATAATTTTGATATAACCTGATTTTTAACTAAGTGGAATGATGATGAAACTAGTGAATGTCTGGCATATAGAGCTGTGCTGAATGTATAATATATTATCAACCTTGCAGGCTTCCTGTCATCAAGCTGAGCCAGGAGCACTGCTGATGCTGTTTATGCACACGATGTTGAATAAGGTGCTATTCCTAAAATCATTTGCTTTTTTGTGCCAACTGTTTGGGGAAAAAAAACTGTATTTGCAGACCTTTTTATGTTTCAGCCATTGGGATATCACTCATTTTGTGTAAGTAGACACAACTTAGAATGTAGAATTATGAGAGAGAAGTGGTGCTGGAGTGATTCATTGATTAATTGATTAGTCAATCAACAAAGAAAATTAACAAAAATCATTTTGACAAATGATCAATCCATTTCTTTACTGCCTTTTTTGGTCTGGGAAGTTGTGATGGACATTTACTTTGGTGTGGTTGTTACAGTAATAGATGAGTTTCTATGAGAGAAGTTTAATCATACTGTGTATTTTCCTATAAAAGCGAAACCTACTGATCATTTTCATAAATTAGTAGACTCCGGGTGTGTAGTAGCTTATCTCGTAGAGAGGGCACACCATATATTAAGGCTGTGTCCTTCCTGCAGTGGCCCAGGTTTGATTCCAACTTGTGGCCCTTTGCTACATGGCATCCCCTCTCTCCCCCTTTCCATCCACTCTTAAGCCCCCAAAAATGTGTGCAATCTATCAATTTTCCACACACGTTTTATTCCAATGTTTGTTTGCTGTTGCTAGTTTGTATATTTCTCCTCATTTTGCCTCGCTTTTGTACTTCAATGATAATTCAAATTAAACTGTCCTCTCTGTGCTGATGGACAGTCACAAACAGAACGTGTGGGAGTAGAGGAAGCAGGGAGAGTGGGGAGAGAGCGCACACACACACACACACACACACAGCCCACAAACTTTCACAAATGTTCTAGTGTATGTAAAGGCAGATGAATCAGTGCTTTGTGGTCGTGTCGCAGGGGAATACTGGCCACCCTGCTGGCTGCTGCTGCTGCTGCCGCCATTCTCACAGACAGCAAAAGACCTGATTTGATCTCAGACAAGTTCAGCCCTCAAGGAAAGGAATACAACACCCACAGATGCTCATGAATGGGATGTTTGATGCATTCATGTCAATGATTGTTACTGTAATTTTCTACTATTTTTTTGCAAGGACACAGTATGACTGCAAATTGTGCTCCTTTAGAAGACACACAGTGACACCATGAGAAATGACTGTATAGTGATACAATATGAGAATAAAAGAAATATTATGACTGCAGGCTGGCCTCCTAACCCCCAGGAATCCTTACAGACATTGTGGTTTTTCATCAAGGTGCTTTATATGGCCTAATGGTTCCTTGGACATGTATACTGTATCTTAACTGTTGGCTATTTTCTGCTGCCAATAACTAGTTCTGACCGTGTCTTCCTGTCAAACAAAAAAACCTGGAAAAAGCAAAATGTGCAATATTTGTAACAGGAGTGGGCTGCTCTCATAACATCCACAAGTTTACCTTCACGTCACCTCTTGTGCGATCAGGTGCCTCCTCAAATAGATCAACCCTGGAGTTCCAACAGATGTGTGTGTGTGTGTGTGTGTGTGTGTGTGTGTGTGTGTATGTGTGTGTGTGTGTGTGTGTGTGTGTAAGGTGGGGGTGCGGTGTGAGGGGAAGCAAGAGGGTTTGTGGAGGCGTGGTCCTCTGCGTTGCAAATTTGGCATATAAACGCAAAATGAGCAGCGGTCCCATGCAGCAAGCAGCATATTGAGCCAGCTGAGGAATTCAGCAGGTACCTATAGACATTTCTGAGCTCTCTCTCTCTCTCTCTCTCTTCCAGCAGCGTGGATGTAAAGTGGGAAAGAGAACTGACTGCCTGCACTCATTTTATGTGATGGATGGAATTACAGGCTCCCTGGACTGGAAAACTGTCACTCTGCAATAATCTCAAAGGGTTGTGGCATCTGGAATATTGCACCTGAGAAGTATTTTGACCACTTTGGCGGAATTTAAAGGTAAACCTACAGTACACATTACTGCTCAATAAACATGGTTATTCTACTATTTAGGACCTGTGTGTGTGTGCGTGTGTGTGTGTGTGTGTGTGTTCTTGTTTCACACAAGTGAGATTAAAGCGATCTTATCACGTTTTGTTGTTCAAATATATTCCTAGAATCATTTCACAATATTGTCTATTATGGAAGTTGCTGGAACTATTTAAAAAAAAAATCATTATCTAAAGATGTATGGTATTATTTAATCTGATTTTATATCAAAAATTAAAATGCTGAAAGCCTCCCTCCAGTGCTTGTTTGCTGCGCATGTGCACCAAATCTCATGCTCCATAACATAACGTGTGAAAACTCAGTTGACACTGGTCCTACTGTGTGTGGTGATGCAGTGACCTGCAGATGCACTCAGGCTGCTGAAAGCTGTAGTAGCCTTACTGTTTGAAGTGAAGTCTCCTACAGTATAATTACAGCATTATTCAAACTGAGACAGAGGACAGATTCAAAGTGTCTTTGGGCTCTTCATAAACATGCTGTAGTGTGGGTAAGCTTGCTGAAAAGGGAGAAAATGAGTGTGTACACTGATGTAAATGCTAATGTCAAACCTGGATTTTCAGAGTCCATGTTCTTCTAAATTTCTATGCAGACCTGTGCATCATTTCAACATCACATATTAAACTGCTGCATGAAAAAAAAAACTCTATACTCCAGCTATTCCACTTAAACTTGCACTCTCTCTGTTTTGCAGACAACAAAAAGTATTCTTTATTCAGCTGCAGTAATTTCCCCATCATGAAGACGTCTCTTCCTTTCCCGGGCTTGGTTAGAGTGGCGAGCTTGTTGCTGTGTTTGAGCCAAACCGTCCTGGCCATGGTCCTCACCAACTCCACACAACTCGAGTCCATTCTGGACCAGTACAGGGACAAGGATGAGGAGTGGTGGAAGGCCAGGTCGAGAGGGAAGAGGGCGATCAGCGAGGGAGATATGCACCTTATCTTGGACTTGCACAACAAGCTGCGGGGTCAGGTCCATCCTCCTGCCTCTAACATGGAGTACATGGTAAGTTCTGAGGACACAGCTGTCTGTCATATAGTGTAGGTAAATCTACACTTGAATACATCTTATCATTCAAAAAAGTTCAACCCTTCATACCTTTCCTGTTTTTAATTTAAATAAATACACGCCACCAGTTTTAGTTAGAGATAAAGAGACAGAATTAAACTCCTGGAGACTTGAACTGATGCAAAATCAGTTAATTTTGATTGACAGTTTGCTAAAGCACATCCGATGACACTTAAGCAACCATAATGGGGCACATGCTGAGGCAGAGCACACTGGGCTTTAGGAAGTACAATGCATTAAAAGACTTTTAAAAAAAAGTGTAATTTTCAGCCCTTTAGATAAACCAGTTTAGTAGTTTAATTAGATTGTGGACAGGGCCAACCTTAGACTTTTGGGGGCCCCAAGCAGGATTTGGTTTGGGGGTCCCCCTGTGTTCAAATGGCACTGAACCAAATTGTGTATTGTAAATATTAGTATAACCATGCATAATATACAAATAAGCATGTGAAGACTAAAGTGAGACATGTTGGTAGCAACACTATCTTTAAATAGACTACAGTAAATACAGTATTTGTCAGTTACCACCAAAACAGTAGGGAGACAGTAAAATACTTACTTGGTCTACCTAATTTGTCCATTTTGCCCGTGTCACTAAGTTTACTGTTTTGTTACTACTCATTGGAAAAAATGTCTTGAAATGTTGTAAGTTTTTATTCAGTAAGTTAAATGTATTTTTTTTTGTTATCATCAAAAAAAACTGCTTCTATCACTTAATGGGAAGGGCCAGCTTTGTTTGTAGGGTTACTGGTATGAAAAAGCCCTGTTCACGACTGGCACATCATTAATTTTAGAGTTAGAAAACTGTTTACGCTCACATTCAGCCAGTTTAGAGTCACCAGTTAACCTGTGGGAGGAAGCCAGAGTACCCACAGAAAACCCATGTTGACACAGGTAAAACATGCAAACTCCGCACAGAGGGGCTCCCCCACCCAAGGGTTTGAACTCCCTACCTTGGGTTAGAACCTGGAACCCTCTTGCTGTGAGGCAACAATGCTAACCACTGCACCACTGTGCCTCCCACATCCACCGTATTGTATTTCCTCACTGTGTGTAAGCCAGTCCTAGATGCTATCAAAGTCTGGGCTAACGTTAATTGCCTAGTTTTGTCCTACTTCTATTGGATTTGGGGAAGTTAACACACCAGCGTTTCACAATATGGTTGTAGGTTTGTACATGCTAGGACTTACTAGCTCTACACTGCAATACAACAACAATGGAGTTTCTTTATTTCCATGTTTTCTACATACAGTTGTGGATAACCTAGCAAAGATGCTTATTTTTGCCTGGACATGTTGCTTTAGCCGTAGTCATTTAACGCACGATCCTTGTTATACAAGTCTGGAAACATTAATAGGACAACTCCACACAGGTTTTAATGGTCTGGTGTGTAAGATTTAGTGGCATCTAGTGGTGAGATTGCAGATTGCAACCAACTGAAACTTTGCCTGCATGCCAAGTGTGTTGGAGAACTATGGTGGCCAAAAATGCGATTGGCCCTATCTAGAGTCGGTGTTCGGTTTGTCTGTAGCACAACACAGTGAACTTCGTGGACAAAGACCCACTCCGTATTCATAGTTTCAGGTGATTATATACTAATGCCAACATAGTTATTAATATTATATTCAATTTCTGCCAAAATATCCCCCTAAATCTTACACACTGGACCTTTAACTAATTTATAGAGCTAATGTTAGCTCAACTAGCTGGCTAGCTGATAAAACTGCCAGCTACAGTCGCCAGTTTTTGGTAAAACTGGCTCATCGGGTATAATTGAGAAGCTGTTTCGTCCTCCTCTGTGTGAAATCAAGGACCTACTGTTCCAAAAAATAGAAGCATTTTGAGTAATAAATCTGCCATCATTGTAATCTAATCTAATATCATTGTACACTGTAATTGTGCCATGTTGGCACAGACAGCTTGATCAGCATAGCAACAGTAACTAAAAGTACCTTGTGTTTTACATGAAGCAAACATGAAAACATAGATCAGAATGGATCATTTCTTCCCTTGTGACTGCATGTATACAGTACATTCACACTATCAAATAAAAGATTAGAGACACAACTCTCTGAGGGTTGATATCTGGTAAATCTGGCCAAATCAGATCAGGTTTGACACTAAAGTCATACGTCTTTCTCAGAGAAAAGCACTTTCTTGTAGTTCTGTCAGCTCAAGACAGCAGAGTAGGGAAGGAAAGACAGAGAGAACAAGATCTGCTATCCAAAGCCACCATCTGGCTCGCTATAGCTCCTGCCTCCTGCTTGCCCGCCCTCGCTGACCCTGGCCCATATCCAGCTTTCACCCCCGCAGTGTTGTCCTGCCCTCTACCTCAACCATCCTGCCCTCCCTCCTTTCCTTCCTGCTCTACATCTTCTTACTCTATCACTCCATTTCTCCGCCTACTGAGTCTCTTTCTCCCTGCCTGGCCCTTGTGCCTTCTTGATCCTTAGCTTCACAAGCTTTCCCTCGGGCTTTCCTTCACCCTGCTTTATTTTCCCGCTCTCCCTTCACCTCTCTCCATCCATCGCAGCTCAGTTAAACCCTGGCCAAGGCCTGTGTTATCTTTTGTTTGATCCTCCACGCATCTCATTTTGGGTGCCACTGCGGTGAATCTATTTCAAACATGTTGAGCCCCACCGTTTGAAACGTGGGGCACAGTAGTGTAAATGTATGTTATGTACACTAATCCAGTGTTTCTTTAGCAAGGGATACTATTACTGATGATAATGATGTGGTAAAGCTGGGGACTGATGAGGGCCAAGTATTAGGTTTTCAGATTGCAGGATTTGGAGGCCAAAAGGGCTGCACTTTCACTGCAGCTCTGACTTCTTAATTTCATACAAAATCCAGCAAATGCCTTTCAAAGCACTATTGCATCTGTTCATCTAAATCACTTCTTGCCCTGCAGATTTTCCTGAGAATAAGAGACCTCTTAACAGGTTTCTATAATCACAGCCACTTTCTAAACTGTAAGTTGAATTACAAGCATTAAATTACACATGAACCATGTTGCATACTTTGGATTCCCAAAGTAAAGGATGTCTTCTTGTATTATGCCTCAATACTGATATCTGGAACATTCACTCTAAAGACTGCACATCTTGCACTTAGCTCTGTAGCAGAGGTGGTCCTGGCAGATGGCTGGAAACAGCTCTGTATTTTGGGAACTTAATGCTCTTCGGAATGCAAAAGGAGATTGGTAGTTGTTACTGTGATCTTTCTCCAAAGGCTGGTGGGCAGTCCATCTTCCTCTCTGCTGGATAATTGAGGGTGAAGAATAACAAGGACTCGGAGAGAATAATGAGCTGGCAGAGATCATTAGTATCCACTGTAGATTGTTTGCAGTGAAAGCTTCGTGCAGAACTCCAATTTCATTATAACCTGCAACAGTAGTGACACATGGCACTTGTAGGTGGGTAGTTTTGCTTTATAAGTCGGGTTAAGGGTTCAATATGCTTAAAACAAATTAGGTTTTACAAAGTGTTGTCCAACAAAGGCAAAAGTGTTTTAACTTGTTCAGAGCAGCCACACGCTGCAAAATCTGCAGTCATAGGCAAGCCATGATAAAGTACATAAATGGAAATTACGATGCACACTTCCTCACAGGCATTTATGGTGTTGCACTCCATGTTGGACACAAAAAGTGACTTGAATTAGTTGTGTAAAGAATGAAAAATGAGAGCTTGAGGGAGAAGTTCACTCAATATACAGTATGTAAGATGAAGGAAGAAATGATTGTCAGCACTAATGGCTGTATGGATAGCGCATCTCCACTTCCTCCCATCGTACAAGGAAAAATATCCCTGATATGGCTACTGCCATCACAAAAACATACATCCTGGTGATAAGAACTACCTATAATTATAAGAACAATCTTTAGGAAAAATGTATTTGATGTGTACTACTACTTTTCAGATTAGCCCATGTCTTATCCACTAATATGGAGAGGGTACTGCATCCAACCACCAGGGAGTGATTGAGATGTTTAGACTTCATTTTGCAGGAGCTGTCATGTAATCTATCTATATTATACAGTCTATGGTCTCCACAGTCACTGTGCCATGATAATCCTCATAGTATTACAAACTGCTCTGCAGTTCCTTTTGTCTGGTAGGGGACAACTCACTGTTCTGCCGCTTCACAGCCTAATTCTGAAGCTCCAATAGTCCAGAATCCCAAAAACAAAGTTGCAGTGCTCTAAAATTCTCCCAAAGAGAAGCCCATGGCTAATTACGTATTATGCAGAATGGCATCATCTGAACTTCCTTCTATGGCAAAGGCATGTCCCACTTTGGATAGTACTTGTTGCCTTCATTGGTTGGGTTGGTTTGGTTTAGGCATGACGAGTGAGACTGGTTAGGGTAAGACTAAGAATATCAGAGTAAGCTGATCAGAGGCAGAGAAATGGACTTTTGTTACTAGGCTGTCAGAAAAATGGCCTTTTGCTCCAATAGGACAATCCAAATCTAGAAAGATTTAGTGTCTGGCTATGAGTAATGCAAATGGCCCAACTTGAGGGGCGGCACCAAGCATGCATTTGAAAATATCACTGCACGCAATTGGATAACACTACGACCAATCAGAACAATACGCAGGGTGACGTATCCAGAGCGCTACCAGCGGAACTAACTGGTTGTTTAGACTCTTGCCGTATCTGGTCGGCAAAACAGCAAAAACATCCTTTTTGCAAAGGAAAGATTCAAGCGCCGTCTTCTGTTCCTCTTTTAGAGAAAAAGCCAAGTCTAACTCGTTCATTGTAGTGGCCAAAGCCGTTTCAAACAAATGGTGTTCATCCGTAGCTATCTTGCAATGTTTACTGACTGATTCCGGACTTCATCGTCACAGCGCTGTCGTCATCTGTTTAGCTGGCCTCTGGCCCACCTATGTCAGATACACCGATGTGATTGGTGCAGCTCGGCTACAAAGGCATGGGTAATGAACATCATTACTGATTGCCAGAGTGACTCGTTGAGCAAATTCAAATTGTGCTCTCGCGAGAACTCTGGATTTCCAGGGTAATTTTTCAGACCATTGAGGCTTCAAAATGGTCTCTTACAATGCATGGCACCATCTGGTAAGCCCTAAATTCATGGATCTTTACTTCAACCTGCCCTCTCAGATCATATTTTATTGCACGTAGGGCTGGGCAGTATGACCTAAAATTTATATCACGGTATAAATCGAAGCCCTTCATGGTAACAGTATATATCGTGGTATAAATTTAAGTGTAGAAGTTATAATAGAAGTGTTTCTGAATGGGTTTTGTAGTCCCTTAGCAAAGCTAAATTGATAAAAAAAAAACAACAAAAGCAAAGATATAATGTATTTTTTAGAGCATTTATTGTGCAGAATGCAGATCTCAAAACTCAAAATTAAAACCCAGTACTCTATGGTGCAAAATGTCCCCTGGGATCTATATCAAAAGGTAATTTCCTTCTTTTAGCAAAATCCTAAATGACTGAGTTGTGTTTTTTCCACCTGGACCTTTATGCTCTGCCATTTCTCCTCTAATCATCACGCTGTAACCTGTGACAGGCTGTTATGATACCACAACTATCACACATTCACATATGGAGTTTTTTGTGGAGCCCCTAGCGTCACATAGGTTTACATTACCAAAGGTTTATGACAAACTTTCTTGCCGAAAACCAACTCCCGTGTGCGCACGGCGAGAGAGGAGAGGGAGAGACGCTGTGCTGCTGCCAGAGGAGACACTGAATGAGTTCCCTCTGAGCGGTAAGTCGCTAAAAGAGTCTGAGAAGTCCGGGGCTGTTCATAAAACATTAACTCACTCACTCACAAGTTCTCCAGCAACACATGTTGCACGTGCTACGCTAAATCACGGACGTGAACCAGCTCCTCTTGCTCCGCTGTCTCTGTGCTCGCAGCCATTTTCACACTGAGGCAGGTGCGATGACGTCATCGACGATAGGACGGTAGAGCGCAAATCTCTACCGTGGGCCAAATTTATATCATTTCTACCGTCTACCGCATATACCCTGCAGCCCTAATTGCACGCGTTGATGATACCTGTAGCAACACGCCCACCCATGCAGCTACTGGGCTATGATTGTCCAATAAAGGTTACATCATACTGATGTCCTGCAAATGTTTGCTCTGTGTCCCATCTACTTTGAAGTGAAACAGGCAAGCATGTGTTTGCTGTTGTGATTGTTGTGAATTTTTTGATTCATAATTTTTTGTTGTGAATCGACTTTTACTTTCATTTTTTGGGTGAAATGTAATGTGACAGAATAAGCTTAACCCTTAGAGAATCATGCAATCTTTTAAATGCAGTTAAATACAAATAAGGTCACCAAAATTGAAATAATCAGAATTCTACCTAGCAGCTACAATATAATGCAATAACCATGGAAGAATGTAGTATCACATAGCAACCATTCAGAGGGTTAGAGCAGTTTTTCACCTTATGTTGGTATCTCTGCCACAGCTGGATTGTGGCCAAAGGAGCAAAGAGTCAAAATATCCCTTCTCCAATGAGGCTTGAACAGTAAGCAGCTCAACAGTGAATGGGCAACAGTATGCACAGTGTATTAGTCTTACCAAACATATGGAACACATCATGGTGGTCAATCAGAGCAGTTACACCTCCACACTTAAGCACTATTCTATTAGTTTTGATGTGTGATAGCCATAATGCAACCAAACAGTATGCCAGCAGCAGAGCACACTGCACCTATTTTTCTTTCTCCCCAGCAAAGTCAACAGTAAATTAACTTTGCCGCAACATTTGAATTGCTCAATCCTGTATCCATGGTCTACTTCCCTACTTTGTTCATAACAGTCTTTAGGTATTTTGACCTCAATTGGGTTTAATTTTGTCAAATTTTTACAGTAAAGATGGCATCAAGCCCCCAAACAGAGACTCTCTGTGTTGGTAGCTTTTTCTGTCTACACTTGTTTTATGGGACCAAAACTTACTGGAAACAAGCTATGAAACAGCCACACTGAATAGTAGCACAAAGCTGCAAGTTGATGTGGTGGTGGTGGTGGTGGTGGTGATTCCTCTGTTTCCCTTCTCTCTCATGTATGTGTCTGTGTGTGTCAGGGAGTGAATGTGTGTGCTCAATAGGAGAGGCCTAGTTTTGACTACACTGTGTTAAATTTGTGAGAGGCATGCGTATAGCTTCTGTACCTTAAAGTAAAGAGCAGGTTCATCTCTCAGGTTCACTTTGTCTCGAGTATGCAAGGTTACTTTCAGATTAGTGTCACTGGGATTTATGGTAGTTTAGTTCACTCAAAGAGAATGATGAGATATCTGAAAAATGTAATGACTAGCAATTAAAGCCACAACTATGGTAAGTGGCCACTTTGCCTGCTTAAATGGCAATCCAGAGTGGAGTTTCAGGTCTGCAAACATCTGTTGCAGACAAAACGGCTCTGGACTCATTGAGTTTAAGCCCAGGAGAAAATGCTTTAGTTACCAGCTGAAAAAAAAATGTTAGCTGCTTACCTGAGCTGACCTTCAGAGTTAACCTTCATTTTTCCAAAGGCAAACAACTATTTAACCCAAAATGTGTGTTTTATTCTGTGTGTGTGTCTGTGTGTGTTCTGCAGGTTTGGGATTATGAGTTAGAGAGGAGCGCAGAGCACTGGGCACATACCTGTCGATGGGAACATGGACCGAGCCACATGTTGACGCAAATAGGCCAAAACCTTGGAGCCCACTGGGGCAGGTGTGTATGTACAAAGAAGTGGAGGGAGCTGTGTTTATTAAATTATGTTTTATACTACAGTATTATGATAAGAATAATAGTGTTTTCTAACAATATGCACCATCGCTCTCCACTTCGGTGTGAAATAAATGTTTGCCAGTGTTTTTCCAGGTCTGCTAGATACATAAATAAATGACTGTGTCCTAACATATCTGCCTTTATAGGGAATGGGAAGTTGATGTCATTCTGTGTTAAAGTTTGGGACGGGGTACCATCTTGTGAGGAATGTGCCTGCTAGGGTGCTTTGTTTTGTTTCGCTTGACTTGAAAGTTACATCGGTCAAATCTGATGTACTGTAGAGGGGAAAAGAGACAGAAAAGAGAGACCCTACTGTTGAAACTGAATCGCAAAGCCAAGCAACAAACAACAAACTAATCATGATAAACAACATAGATCCATGTGACTTGGCAGCCCAAGACTGGATTAGACTTAGATGCACTACCTTCACTGAAATGCCCACACATTGTAAATGATCTTTTTTTGGATTGAGTGCCTATGCTTAATGTGAGGTCTGCAGTGACTGGGGGCAGGATCAGCTAATTCACAAGCTTGCAAATTGCAGGAGCACAGTCATACTCACAAAGGTAAAGTGGCACTCCTCTTTTTGGCTCAATTAGCCTATTAAACCAAATAAAATACAAAAGGTAAGAAGCGGGTAACCACCGTAGCAAGCACAGGGTGTATTCCTCACAAAATGGCCGTCCCAACAGTATGACATACCTTTATATTTTCTTAAAGATTAAATATGGCAATATTCACTTTTCAGCTTGTTCTGCTGCCCCCAAGTGGCTAAAATGCAAATGCAGCTTCAATGATCCAGTAGAAGTATGATTTTAAAAAATTGCCTGTCTGTGTCACCCAGGTTGTATCGTTAAATTAAAGCCCATGCCAACCATACATCCACACAGGTGTTTTCACTTATTGTGGCCAATTACACCATTTCTCAGAACTGTCAAAAGGTCTAATTTTATATATATTTTTTATATAACTATAATTGTGGGTGTGTTCTAGTAATGCTTGTTGTGGCAGGAAAAGTACAGGTGTAACTAACGACATTAATGATAACTGAGTTTCATTAAGTATTTCATTAAGCTATGGCAGGCAGCAAGCATGCACAATACCAGGAGCCTGGAAATGGCTCACTGAAATTGAAAGTGGCCCTTGGTAATGTCTTCAACCTGTGCTTTTTCCTGCTATGACATGATAAAATGTCTGCTGTGAACCTGGTCTAATAAAATCAGCCCTAGGCAAAGTGCCTCGCTCATGGAAGCCTCAACAAGGCAGTTTAACATCTTATATACAGACATTGCCAACAAATTATCTGAGATTGCCTTTATAGACATGTCTTTAATGTATTTATTGTCACCTTTTTTGTAATAATAATGGAAGGATACAGTATAAACACCTTTTGTGTGACTTTAGAGACCGCCCCCCTACCTACCATGTCCAGGCCTGGTATGATGAGGTGAGATACTACAGCTATCCCTACTCCCAGGAGTGTAACCCACACTGCCCATTCAGATGTTCAGGACCTGTTTGCACTCACTACACTCAGGTAAGGGCTTTTTGTATTTCCTCTTAAAGAGTTAATCATGCTTTCTGGAATTTTAGGGATTTACTTAAAACTCTATTATGGAACAGCCAACCATACCAAGCCTCCCTGAACTTTGAAGCCAATTTGTCATAGCAGCCAAATGTAGAATTACAGTGTCCAGGTCCGTCACATGATGCCATGGGGCCTAAAAGGACTTTTCCACATCCACTAACATTGTGAAAGACATGCCTGTAAATCAGTGGATACGTTTTTTGGATGTAAAATCCCCCCGTGAAATGAACTGTTTCACTATCAGGATTTGATCCATTAGATCTGATAATATTTCTACAAGAGACGCACAATTAAATCATTTAATGCCTATTCCAGTTAGCAGAGGGCAAAACTGGAAGTTAGCCACTCAGGCAGCATAAGTCTCTAATGCTCTTGCTGTATGAGACCCACGATGCGGAGGAAACAGGTAATTTTATACAGCAGAAATGAAGCTTTTCTGGTTTGATGCACCACTGAAAAGGGTGCCATGCTTTCAGTGCTCTATCCAGTTGTCTTTATACATCCATACATACCCACACAGGAGTTACTATGCCTGTGCAGGTGACAGCCATTGCGGGATTATAATGTTTCCAATTGTCTGTCCGTCCGTCCTTACATCTGTCCATTGTCTGTACATTTTTCCGACCACACGTCTGTCTATCCATCCATCCCATTCTCGTGAATGCAATATCTCAAGAACACCTTAAAGGAATTTTTTTATATTTGGTACAGTCATCCACTGGGACTCAACAATGAACTGATCAGATTTTGATGGTTAAAGGTGAAGGTCACTGTGGCCTCACATCTTTGGCAGTAACTCAAGAATGCATACACTAATTATGACAAAATATCATTCATTGTCTAAACCCTAAAATGATTAAGTGATGACATTTTATATCCAAAAAGGTCAAATGTCGTCTTCAGTTTGACACAATAATGTTCTGTAAAAGCACTTTTCTGGCCATTATGCAATGTCTTAACTCAGATACTAATCGTTGGTGTGCATCTTGAAACTGTGCTTATTGTATAGCTCTTATGTGCTGTCAGATTAAAAATGTGTGTGAAGTATACTTGCTTAGAATTTGTAGCCTCTTTGCAGAAACATCCATATTTGAAGCACTGTCTATTGTCATGGCTACATATGAGTCTGGACAGACATGGATGTAAACTGTCTGTGTGAGTCACAGAGGACTACAACTGTGAGGCGGTAATTCTAGTTAGTTAGTTAAAACACTTATTGGGGGATGTTTAGTCTCTTTAAGAAATACTTTGATGTGAGTTCTTCATCAGATCAGTTTGATAAAAACAAGGCTGTTCTTCCAAGTTCTGAATGTTTATCATTATTGCTTACTGTGAAGACACCATGGAATCATGTTAAATCATTTTCTACTGCAGGTACAGCGTTTTATTTTGCTTGTCTGTGTGTATTTCAATTTTCAGTTGGTGTGGGCGACTAGCAATCGTATCGGCTGTGCCATCAATGTGTGTTACAACATGAACGTGTGGGGAATGATCTGGGCTAAAGCTGTCTATCTGGTCTGCAACTACTCCCCACCGTATGTTTTTGCTTGTTTCAATACTATGTGATATATCTTCTTCAAAATAAATTAAAATAAATTAGTAACAGTGGTGCGGAGACCTGCTGCCAATGAAAGCAATATCATGAATATAAAACGACTATAATTTCCATTAGATTGGATTTATTCAATATAATACACCTCCATCTCTTGCTTATAAAAACATTCAAATAAATTAGATTCCCTTTCTTTTTTTTTTCTTTTTTTTTTTTCAGGGGCAACTGGTGGGGTCACGCTCCATACAAATATGGAACTCCCTGCTCTGCCTGTCCAGCGAGCTATGGTGGAGGCTGCAGGGATAATCTCTGCTACAAAGGTGGGTTTTGTGGTCTTTTGCCATGTTTTATCTCCTTACTGTACATTCCCTTGAACCCAGCAAAAATTGCAGTTAGTTATTAAAGGGCCAGTGTGTAATATTTGGCATGGTTTATTGTCAATCTGAATCTGAATATTCTACCCATTAATATGTTTATATAAGTGTATAATCGCTATAAAATAAAGTTCATTTGGTTTTCGTAGCCTTATAATTATGCTTTTATATATATATATATATAGCAAGGGCCTTGCTTTAGAGAGGTCGCCATCTTGCACCGCCATGTATGTACGGCAGACCGAGCGGACAATCCAGCCATCCAGAGAACGCGTTTCGCATGTATAAATGAACCAACGAAGACAGCGGAAGGAAGGAAGAAGGAGGAGGAAACAGCAGAGAGTGTTAGTAGTTCGTCGATAGAGAGTAGTGAAAAGTTTTTTTAGTTATAAAGTTTGCAAATGGACCACACTTACCACGCAACAGGAGAGAATGAACCCGAACCGTCATCTGCGAGGAAAAGAAGACGCAACTTCACTCCTTGTGATGCACTCTCTGCGGCGCTTTTCCTCCTGATGATATATCTCCCCAACGATGGCAGCAGTAGCACCGAATCCCATTCTGTGCATTCAGCCTCTCTTCTCACCCGCTCAGCATCAAACACATGGAGTTCCTCATCTGTATGCTCCGGCTCAAACAGGTATGGCTCTGGGTCTGTGTCCGCTACAAGAAACTCTTCAAAATCGCGTTCAAAGTCGTCCATTGCAGCTACTATAGTCCGGAGATATTGCTAGGCTAAATAAACAGCTGAGCTCTGTTTACCGGCTACGCTGTCAGTCAGTGTGCGGGCTGGAGATTGGTGGAGCAGAGAGGGGAGGGGGTACCCGCTAGGTACTGTAAACGAGTATATGTGTATTAAGTGTGTGTGTTACGCTAGAAGAGTCAGAGTTTGGGACAGAGTCTTTTACCCCCTGGAGTGTTACCAGAGTTTCTGGAGTGCTCAAATAAATAAATAAATAAACGGGGCCTTTTTCCTGAACGCTCCTCTGGTCTCCTGCTCATGAGGGATTCATTACAATATCGTAACATGGTTTAGATTTCTAAATAAATATTCACCTCGTCGCTAGATAGACCTACTCCTGAAAAACTCGTGTCTGCGCAAGGCTTTTTGTCCCTACGAGGCCACCGCATTTACCCGACGGGAGGGGTGAGCGAGTGAGCCTTGCAATCTAGAATTTGACCACTGATGTCACTGTTTTCAACCCATTTTACACACTGGCCCTTTAAGTCTTAATAGTAATGTAGTTATAGTTATTAATAGTTATTTAAGCAAAGGGTTTGTTGCCCTGTTTTTTTAGTATCAGCTACCCTATGGATATTTCCCTTCACTGGCAGGATTGTTTTTTTAAGTGCCCAGTATAGCATTTCTACATCAAAATATACATTTATAATATATACTTCAAGTACAACTTCTATCAATGTAAGACAAAGAAAATGATCAAATTGAGTGAAACAACTAGATGACAGTCTGGTTTCCATGTTTTCAGATGGGGGTGTTGACAGGCGTCCGGCTCCTGAGATTGAGGAGACCAACTACATTGAACCTGAACCGGAACCAGTGAGGGACAGGGAGCCCCAACCCAGGGCCCAGATGCCAAACCCCTCACCTAATGACAATCTAGAGAGAAACCAGGTTGTCAGCACAGAGCAGATGTGTAAGGACTGCTCACATAATACTACATCTTTCCTAACTGTGCACTTTTAAGAGTACCCATTATTACTATTTCTAAAACGAGGTTGTGAAAAGCTCTTGTTTGTTATTTTAGGTCAACAGCTTGACTGTGAGACTAAGCTGAGGGATCAGTGCAAGGGGACGACCTGTAACAGGTGAATGCTCAGGAATGTGGTGACGCAGCAACAACAGGGGGATGTCACATATCCTCCTGAGACCTTGTGTCCTTGTATGAAGACATCACGTTTTTGGTTTCCTGCACTTTATACTTCATTCTTCTGCTTAACATTGTCCTATTGTCATCGTTTGTGGACACTCTTTTGTGTCAAGACCACAATACACTAATCCATGTACAAACAAAATGGCAGCCATCTCTGCCAAGTCAGTCTGCAGCTCATCCTGAGATAAAAGTCTCATTTGAGGACATTGGGAATTTATCATAAGCTCATGTGAGGACACTGGGACTTTATTATCATTGACAATGTTTAGTTTTTTTGTACTTATCAGGTCCTACTAATCCCAAATAGCTAGGAGAAATTAAAAATGCATACCAAACAAAAGTTCGGGTCTCAGGAGGATATTACTGTGTATGAAAATTCTGGGACACATTTGATCTACAAAGATAACTTTTGTTTCTGTCCATAGATATGAGTGTCCACCTGGCTGCCGCGACAGGCCTGGAAAAGTAGTTGGGACTGGATATTATGACATGGTGAGTGGTCACCAGGGACAGCTTAATTTTTTTTTCCAGATCATTTTGAAATGTTTGACATTTCCCTATGTAGGCCTATCCATGGAAAATTAATGTTGTTTTTTTTTTCAACCTGTAGACTGAATCACCACAATGTTGTTGTTGTAAAATTGATTTCAATTGCAGAGATGTGTGAAATTGGCAAACTTATTTTTAGCTGTAATTGTAACATTTAAAGAGATATACTTAAACATAGTGGTCCAAGCTATCTGAAATTTGAACTGTGCTTACTTTTTGTACTGTGTTGCTTTGCTAGCATCTTTGATAAGCTAAATCTTCTGGCATAGAAGCTTAACAATGTACTACTGTGGACGGGGGCCACAGCAAAACATATTTTAGCCACTTAATAAGACCCACTTAAAAAAATTAATAATAATATTCGTTTGGGTATATGCTATATTTGAAATATTTTCACCACTTTACCTTACACACTAACTGACGGAGGCAGCCACTCCTGTGTTCTGCAAAGTAAAATTACTGCTTTTGTTGTTGGAGTGTGGTGGTTTTGAGATAACAGCTTTAGTTCCTGTCAGAATAAAAAGGTAAAGCGATGAAATTTTTTAAAATATAATGTTCACTTAAACTGATATTGATTTCTAAGGTGGGTCTTTTTTAGGTGGCTAAAAACTAACCAATTAACATTTGCTCAGCAGCATTTCATATTATGTACCCAACATGGGAGATTTCTATTGTAAACAAACATTGTGATGAAGTCTATAGTACCTTACTGTGCATTAACATTCATGTCTTTGTCATTTACTGCAGCAATCTAGTGTGTGTGGAGCTGGGTTACACTCTGGTGTTATTGACAATGATGGAGGGTGGCTGGATGTGACCAGACTGGGCAGAAAGCAACATTTCACCAAGTCATACAAGAATGGTATTCAGTCGATTGGGTATGAATCAGTCTCTGTTTTTAGTCTCTATTTAAAAGTGTTTAATACAGTCTAGAAAAAAATTACCCCATTTATGGGAGTTGATGGTGCATGGCTATGCAGCACAGATCATAACTTGATACAGTTTTCTTCAAATTCACAGGAAAAACAGAAGTGCCAATTCCTTCAAAGTAGAGTCGGTGCCTGGTAAGGAGAATACAATCATTTCTCACATGAGGTAACAGATACAGTAACATGTTGTCTGTATACAGAATAATTGTGAGGTCACTTTGCTGTGCCTTTTTCTCCCCCAGTCAAGGCAGTGACATGTGAAACAACCGTTGCACTTTTCTGCCCTTTCAAGAAACCAGTACGACACTGCCCCAGGTAACACTCTACTTTAAGCTTATTCACTTAGGAGACTGAAAACACCTCACTGTTTGAATTAAACCACAATCAACTCAGCCGATGAGTCATAGTCATTCTAAAAGAGGTTTGCTATGTGGCCCATGTGATCCTCCATATTAAACGTAAAGTAACAACAATAGCCTAAAGCTGGAGTAAGTTAAGATACCATTAGCTACCCTACTAACCTTTTAACTTCAATAATAACTACATATTTTTTTAAATGCCATGTGTCATATCTTGACAAAGGTTACCTGCAGGTTGTGACAGTAGCACCTGCCCAGCCGCCAAATGTGATGCACGTTAACAAGCGCAAGTTGCGCCTGGAAACTTTTAGCTGTCACTTTTAACACCCTGTACATCCATGACATCTGGAGACAGCACTGGTGGTGGGGCCCTGTTCATTCCTATAAAATGACCATGATTATTGGCACTACTTACGCATCATTTGGCCCACGGATCAGGCACACTATGCTGAAGATGGTTGAGTGCAGCAGATCAGTGCACTTCCGCCTGCTGGGTGGCTGACTTCTAGTTTAGCACTCCGCTAACTTGAATGAAGTTAAAATAATTTATTCTGCTGCTCTTTTAGACTTTCCAAATGTTATAGGATCAAAATGATTAAATCTCGATAGTGGAATGAATTATTTCGCAAGGGCTGTGACACTCAAAAAAATGTATTCACTGATTTATAGACATCTCTTTCCCAATGTAATTCCCCCAGAAATTGCAGTACCCCTGTTTGGCCACTACCAAAATTGGTTTTAGTGCCAGGCACCTCCTGGAGGTCTGATCCATAGCTGAGGTTAGCACAACAAGTAGACTAGCGTGTGAGTCAATAGTCACATGGTGAAAGCAAATGAAACACTGGAGCAGGAAGACCTGTCTGCATGTGTCCGGTCAGCTAACAGCAATGGAGAGGATTGTGTATACACAGGAACAGCATGTCCGTGTTTCTCTGCCATTGAAGGGTCTGCGAAAAGAAACACATCCAACATGCTAATGCACATTTGACGGCATCATCCTGATGTGTCTGTCACCATGACAAGGGAAAAGCAACCAGGGCTGAACTCCTTATCCTGGGTGCTTTTGAGCAGCCTGTAGACACAAAAGCAGCACAGGATAACACAATTACTGAAGCCATTGGCATTTACGGTTGGAATTAATTGTAACTCTCACACTTATGCACAAGTTTTATGTTTTATTTTCAATTATCATTGAATACTTTTCAGTTTTATAGTATATTGTTACCTTTTGGGAAAGTGTTTGTTTAGTGTTTTGCAAATGTGTTTGAAATGCTCCTTATTCTTACAGTGACGAGAGTTTAAACCTAGTTCTTCAAGAAAATTGTAGCACACCACAGTTAAACAGAATTTCCCCTATAACAAAATAGTGGCTAGCAAAAGTGTTAGTTGTTACTCTTAAGTGGCTAGTAACTTTGGGAAACAACTAGCCACAGTGGCTGCTGAGCAAAAAAAGTAATGCCAAGCCCTGGTTACCTGCTTTGCTGTTTATGATTTTCTTTATTAACAAACTATAACTCTTCCTAAACAGTGATAACTCCACCAATGAGATTATTCCAGCCTTTCATACAGAAACAGCATACAGTAGTTTTGGTGTGTGCACTGATATATCCTAGGACCTAAAGTGAGCTCTGGCTTTTTCTTCAGGTTGTATTGTCCCAGGAACTGTCTGCGTGACAGTCGAGCCCGAGTCATTGGGACGAAATACTACTCAGATGTAAGTTCTTGCAACATTATCATAAATTGACCATCACAGCTTTTCATTGATTTTACTGGAATTATAGACCTATTTTACAGTAGACATTTTGACTCATAATCAGTACAGAGTGGGTGTTACTCTGTTGTTGTTTTTATATCTGCCTGCCCAGGAACAGCGGGAGAAAATTAGCTGTTAGCTAACTCTGGTGCAAATATTATTCAACCAGTAATTGTACGAATATAGTTAAATACATAAAAGACGTCATCTTCTCGGTTTATTATGCCACCATGTGTAGATGACCCATTTGAATTCTGATGATTTTATGATGGTGATAAATGTTAGCTGCAGACTCTGCATTAATTCTCTGGAGAACAGGGGAAATTCTTCTCAATATTTTTTTCTTATATGAATGATTTGATGTAAAGACCTGTTTTTTTTTTTCTTTTTAGAAATCCAGTATTTGCCAAGCAGCCATTCATGCAGGAGTAATCCAGACTGAGTCAGGAGGGTACCTCGATGTAATGCCTGTAGACAGAAGGAAGCAGTACAGTGGCAGTTACCAGAATGGGATCACCTCAGAGAGGTAAAAAAAAAAAAAATCATATGTACAGTGTTTATATGAGACTGTACTCATCCAAAATACAACCACAAAGTGTTTTTAACAAGCAGAGGTTAAGACCTATGTTCCCAGGTTCCCAGGCATCGACCTCAAGTGGTCGTAGTAGTGACTGTGGGAGCAAAGTCCGCTGAGGGTGGCTGGAAGTGGAGGTGGATGGATCAATCATGCACCAGACTTTCAACCAGGAGACTGGTGTTTAAGTCCTGTAGGACACCAGTAGTCAAAGTAGAGTTACAACAATAAAATGTAGTGTGTCACTGTATGTCACTCACATGATTTCACATGATGTATGTCATGTGAAATATGTAATGTTACCTTATGTAACCAGCATAATTATTTTAAGCCAAATCATGATGTTTTTTCTAAATCAAAGCATGTAGTTTTGGTGCAATTGTAGTCTGACTTAGGGCTGGGCGGTATGACCTAAAATTCATATCACGGTATAAATCGAATCCCTTCACGGTAACGGTATATATCGCGGTATAAATTTAAGTGTGAAAGTTATAATAGAAGTGTTTCTGAATGGGTTTTGTAGTCCCTTAGCAAAGCTAAATTGATAAAAAAAAAAAATTATTATTATTAAATTTAATTTTTTATTTTTTTTTTTAGAGCATTTATTGTGCAGAATGCAGATCTCAAAACTCAAAATTAAAACCCAGTACTCTATGGTGCAAAATGTCCCCTGGGATCTATATCAAAAGGTAATTTCCTTCTTTTAGCAAAATCCTAAATGACTGAGTTGTGTTTTTTCCACCTGGACCTTTATGCTCTGCCATTTCTCCTCTAATCATCACGCTGTAACCTGTGACAGGCTGTTATGATACCACAACTATCACACATTCACATATGGAGTTTTTTGTGGAGCCCCTAGCGTCACATAGGTTTACATTACCAAAGGTTTATGACAAACTTTCTTGCCGAAAACCAACTCCCGTGTGCGCACGGCGAGAGAGGAGAGGGAGAGACGCTGTGCTGCTGCCAGAGGAGACACTGAATGAGTTCCCTCTGAGCGGTAAGTCGCTAAAAGAGTCTGAGAAGTCCGGGGCTGTTCATAATACATTAACTCACTCACTCACAAGTTCTCCAGCAACACATGTTGCACGTGCTACGCTAAATCACGGACGTGAACCAGCTCCTCTTGCTCCGCTGTCTCTGTGCACGCAGCCATTTTCACACTGAGGCAGGTGCGATGACGTCATTGACGATAGGACGGTAGAGCGCAAATCTCTACCGTGGGCCAAATTTATATCATTTCTACCGTCTACCGTATATACCGTGCAGCCCTAGTCTGACTCATTGGATGTAGACTGTGCCTATAAGCCTACCACTGAAAGATTATTAGGCCGGCATTCTCCTTTTCTTCTGCTATCTGCATGTTACTGTTTCCAAATCCCAACAACAACAGCCCCCGAGCTAACAACTGTCACGCTGAAAATGGCATGTTTTGACAAAGATTTGAAACGTGTAAAAAGGCATGTCTGTTTTGGTGAATTGTTGCAAGCCCAGACTCTGTCTCACAGGACTCTTGTGCCGAATGTTAATCTGTTTTGTGACAAAACCAGTCTTAATTGATTTGTCACATCGTTTTTTACCCTTTCAGCTGCATGCACCATTGCACATGCACAATATACCGATCTGTTCCATTTCACCCAGCAAACTGTCTGTGGTTTTAAAGGGTTCAGTGAGCTCCTCCAGAGCTAAAGTATAGGCAGGCTCACCTCTAGGGCATCAATTATCAAATTAAGTTTCTCTTTTCTATCACTAGAAGTTGAATCACACAGTGACATTTGACTGTTAATGTTTTTTTGGTGGAGCCATTTTAACATAAGTGCTCGCTTCACCACATCCAAATGTTCCTCCAAAACAAGTTTACCCCTGACTATATTTTGCGAGAGCATTGCTGCTGCATTATGGGCTTAGTGCTGCCCAAGACAATTGTGACTGGTTTAAGGAAGCAGAAACATGCTGGAGAGTTTTTTGCCTATTGCAGAAAGATAATCGGTGATTCCAGACCTTTCTCTGGCGTTGACGCATTGCTTAGGAGATAGGTCTGGCTACGAGAGACTAGTGCAACTGTCACCATTTCTTAACGTTACCCACATGTTTTAAACTCTGACTATTATCAGTTATATGAGTTATTCTAACATCCACCAGTAGGGGTGCTAATTTAGGGGACACTGGATGAGAGGTATGAATGTACGACTAATGTGGTCGTATGGGTTGGAAGACTTGTTGGTTTATATAGAGTAAGCAATGGCCATATATAAAAATAAATACACTCAGCTATGTAAAAATACACAGATTTTCAATATGTGTATAATTTATTTAATGTTGTGTTGGACTTTTTTATACAAGTCCAAATTCTTATGTGCAATTACCTCCGTCAGTGTGATGAGCAAATTTCAGTGACTAGTCAATATTAGAATCCATCTTGAAAACAATACCTGTTATTAATGTGAAAAACAACACGTACATTCACCACATCTCTGTTCTCCCCCTGCTCTTCTTTTTCCAGCCTAGTGAACCCAACAGGTGGAAAAGCCTTCAGAGTGTTTGCAGTCATCTGAAAAACCACTCTCAAAGGACAGAACACCATCATACATGGCCACTTCACATCCAGCAAACCTACTCATTATCATCTTACAACCCGTAATCACATTCATTCCTACAGTCGATAATTCAGCTTTTCAGCTTCTGACACTGACACAGTGTAACATGGCTTTACTCAAGGCTTCCCCTCTAAATTTGGTCATGAGTGAACCAGTGTCCAATAATAGCTTAGCAAAGGATGTTTGGCAAATGATGATCCTACATGTCTTTTGCCTTACGTCTTTGCTAAATTTATAAAGCTGACCATAATAATCACATTGGACTACCATGATATCATGATGCGTTTTTTTAACAGTGTTTCTTAAGGTTGAATACACACCACCAGATTTAGCACCACTCCAAATGCTTCCCACAGTTTCAGATCATGAAGGTTAAAATGTAACATCAGAGGTTCTACCAAAGTAATTTTAGATGTATGCCTCAGCTCTATGTAGACATACACCGGGTAAATAATGGGGCAGACAGATGCAGAGTCATAAAATCTGTTCAGACATTTTGCGGGAACAAGATTAGACACTATTTAGTCAGGCCATCTGTGCTGAAATTAACTCCCTGGGCGTTTGTTTTCATCATACTTGCCCAAAATACAATCTTGTATATTTCTATGGAGGACCAAACCAGACAAATGATTAAATCACAAATAAATAGATATGATATAATGAATAATTTTGGGGCAAAATTAAATACAGCAGATAAATAAATTCATAAATATGAATAAATTAATCTCAACTGGTTTAATCTAGATTGTACTTTCAAATTATAATTTTTTTTGTATGTGCAGAATTTCTCTTTTTATCAGTGGAATTTATCATTTTAATTTACCTGGATTGTTTTTAACGTGTGGGACCTGGGTTATTTGATATATAGTATTTAAAATGATATATTTTCCCTTAAGTGTATAAACTAGGCTTCAAAATGTCCATATTCTTGTTTGGATATTTATATGTAATCACTATATTGATATTAAAGTTATACTTTGCTGATTTTCAACCACTTCTGTGTCACCGTGGTGTTGAAAGTGTGGCAAAAGAACAGTGTTACGGCGCTCCCTGTGCCACCAGCACCCTGAGCTCCCCGCCCACCCACCAGCAGTCATTGACGATGTGAAATGATACATAATGCATCATCAGGCAGATTTTTGGTTTCTGGTGGGGAGTTACTGGCACTTTTGGCACAGGGGTAAACCAAATACCATTCATCTGCAAGTGACTCCCACACCATGGCGGCATAGACTTGTTGAAAATCAACAAAGCATCCCTTTAAGGTATGGTTATGGTCAGGTAAATAAAATATGGGGTCAAAGGTAGAGAAATATAAAGTTATCTTCCTTGTGTACTTCTTTCAGTACAGTTATAGTTATTTAAAAAAAAAATAAAAAAGTGTTTTTGTCACAGTGGTAATATACTTTATAGCAACAATGCAGGCAGTAAAACTCAGATTGTATATTTTTGTACATAATAACGCTGTAAATAATATTGAACCCTTTGCTATGAAATGCTCACTGCTGTTGCCTTTTCATTAATATCTCTAACACACTGCCAGCCATTCAAAGTCAAACAAGCAGCAAGCGGTAGATGCTGAAACTGATTCTGCATGCATAACATGTATTTGTCACTCAAGCTTTTATTTTTTATAAAGGACAAACAATACTTTTAGTATATTCATATGTTTGTAAATACTGTGTATGTAACATATTGTTTTATTCTATGCTGCATTTCCCAGCTTTTGTTTATAGATTTATATAAATGGACCCTGGCTGGCCAGGAATGTGCATGGCAGAATCACAATTAAAATACTTGGAGATTAAATTGTGTGAGTGTGTCATTTCTCAGTGTTATAAAGAGTCATCATAAACCAATCACCAACTCAGAAAAATACTGAACCTAAATTTTGCTAACTCAGAGTTACAGGCTGGACTTTACTCCTCAGTTTACCTTGTATTATGTTACACTTGTTTTCACATATGGTTGTGGACATATGGTTGAGTGGCCACAGTATTTCAATATCAGTCCCTACAGCGTCCAGATAGCCTGAGGAATCTGCATTAACATTTCAACCAAGTCTCAAATTCAGCTGCGGATCAAACTTTCAAGTGAAATTTCTTTCTAGAAAGCTGTGGGTGTTTCCAGGAACAGCAGGGAACACAGAGGAAGAGAAAGCTGCTTGTTTCAGGTCCAGGGAGGAGATCTTATCTACCAGTCTGCTCGGCATGTTTCAAGTAAAGGCCAAATAAGTTGTCAGTTCAGTCAAAACAGTAGATATGTCATTACAGTTTATGCTCTGTCAATCCAATTTAAGATTTCATTTTTGTTATTGCTGTATATCCAAATGCCTAAAATAACACCACTCAGTTCAGGACTGCTGATTTTGGATTCGAGATTCACAACATTTGGTCTTCTAGGAATAAGAGAGTCTGAAGCAACATCATAGTTCCAAAGTCCAATTAGAAAAATAAGCAATTCTAACCACCAGCCTGATCTGCACTCTGTTTTAAAGGTTTCATCTTTCATTTTTCACCTCGTTTTCAACCAAGGTGATACTTTAAGGCATTGCTGGAAATGTGCTCCTGGAGTGTTTTATATCACCTCTCATTTTTCAGTTGAATCTCAGTGAACTGATGTTTAAGTGCTCAGGACCACTGGCTGTGGCAGCGCCATACAGACAAAGACCAGCTTTGTGTTTTGCTGATCTCAACTTCCCGGGATGCATTTCCGCTCCCTCATCTGGATTGGCACAGATGTGGTCAGGCTACAGCTAAAAAGACCCCGCCAGTCACCCCTTAACACACACACACAAAGAAGAGTATACACATGTACAACTCAATTATGAAAAAGTCAGGACAGCGTGTCAGATGTAAATAAAAACAGAATGCAATGATTTGAAAATCATTTTGGACTTCTATTTAATTGGATATAGTATAAAGACAAGATAAACCTAAAAGTTGGGACGGGGCAAAAAAATACTGACAAAGTTGTGGAATGCTCAAAACACACCTGGAACATTCCCCAGGTAAACAGGTTGATTGGTAACAGGTGATGATATCATGATTGGGTATGAAAGGGGCATCCTTGAAAGACTCAGGGCCGAATTCACAAAGAATGAACTGCAGCCGCTGATAGCACCTTGAATTGCACTTCATTTGCACCCGCAGTTTGCTCCATCTTAACGTCCTATTCACAAAGGATATTGCGCTAATGATATACCAGCGCAAACACACCCACAAAGTTTGGCAGCTGAGTGCAGTTTGCCCCTGATTTGCCCCTGATTGCAATAAACCACACATGGCAAAGTATAAATGCTGGCTTTGCGCCAAGAACACCATGGCAGAACAATGGCAGACTTTGTTTGGCAAAGTACTGAATACTGTATATCCTCATGTAGTGATGTCTGCTGGTGAGTCAGTCTAACAGTGTCAGATGGGTTGAGGCTGTGGATTTGACCAAGTCTGACCACTTTATCACTATTCCCTCTCACCTGTAGCTGTTTTTTTTCGTTAGCTTTTGAATTTAATATGAATTATGGAACCGTTTTTGTTCACGTTTGTTTCCCCTGTTTCGTAAAATAAATTATTGAAAGTTGCTTTTGAAGTGCGTGACAGAAGTGCGTTTTGAGAACGACCGCAGACTGTCACCTGTTCAACGCATCAATATCTTCGGATGCCATTAAAGTAATAATGATTATAATAATAATAATGTCAAAATATTATTTACAGACTGATTTAACAGACGATCACTGCTGCCACGATCACTGGAAAGTCTGGGCGAGAGGTTTCCACAGAGGAGCGCCCAGTTTGCACCAGCTTTCTAAAGACGTTATTTACTTCATTCAAACTGCGTGTGGCTATTAGTGCTGGTGTTAGTGAATTAGACGTTGTTTATCAATGAGGCTCATTTGCATAGAAAGGGGCATTTTTTTCTTCAAATATATGCTTATTACCTCATTTAAATATGTGCAAATAACACCGGAGCACCGAGACACAATCTGCTTGGCAGCGCAGTTAGTGGAGCATTTCACCCTCTGCGCGTGCTTTGTGAATAAGAAGGTATGTGTTTGCTCCATTTTTACCGGTTTAGCGGCCGCAAAAGCCACGCAATCCTTTTGTGAATTTGGCCCTCAGTCGTTTATGAGCAATTGTGGCACATGGTTTGCCCTTTTGTGAAAAACTGCACAAGCAAATAGTCCAACAGCTTAAGAACAACATTTCTCATAGGAATTTAGGGATTTTACCATCTGCAATCCATGCTATCATCAAAGTTTTCAGAGAATCTGGAGAAATTTTGACATGTAGGGGAAAAGGCTGATGACCAATTAGAAATTCCTATGACCTTTGACCCCTCAGGCTGCACTGCATTAAAAATTGAAATAATTATATAAAGGATATCACTACATGGAAGCACTTTGGAAAACCATTGTGAGTAAACACAGTTCATCTCTGTATCTACAAATGCAAGTTATGACTCTACCATGTAGAGTGAAAGCCATGTATCAACAACATCCAGAACATCATATTGTTTGTGGTATAATGTTTGTGATGTTGTGTCCTTAGGGCCAAAGAGGAAAGAGAATCATCCAGATTTTTACCAAAACCATGTTCAAAGCCATCATCTGTGATGATATGGAGGAGTGTTAGGGCCCATGGCATCATGGGTAACTTGCTCATATGTAAAGACACTATGAATGCTGAAAGGTACATACTTGTTTTGGAGCAACATATGCTGCCATCCAGACGACGTCTTTGTCAGGGACGTCCATGCTTATTCTAGCAAGATGATGCCAAGCCACAATCTGCACGTGTTACAACAGCGTGGCTTCATGGTAAAACAGTGCAGGAACTAGACTGACCTGTCTGCAGTCCAGACCTGACTCCCATTAAAAATGTGTGGCACATTATGAAGCACAAAACATGACAATGGAGACCCTGGACTGTTGAGTACCTGAAGTTGTATATCAAGCAAGAATGGGAAAGAATTTCACTTTCAAATCTTCAACAATAATGTCCTCAGGCTAACTGAGTGTTTTGTTTTTTTAAAGAAAAGGTGATGTCACACAGTGGTAAACATGCCCCTGTACCAACTGTTTTGGAACATGTTGCAGGCATCAAATTCAGAATGAGTGCATAAAGTTTATCCATCTAAACATTAAATATCTTGTCTTTGTACTGTGTTTAATTTAATGAAGGTGGAAAAAGATTTGCAAATGATTACATTCTGTTCTTACTGATGCTTTATACAACGTCCCAACTTTTTTGGAATCGGGGTTCTACAGTAGACACACACCCACATAAGGCAAACACACAATCATGCTTACCATTACTTTGTAAAACCCAGAGGGAGACCATAACAAAATAAACAGTGTTAATCATGGAGGTGCACCGAGATGTCTTCCTACTACTCCTCTGGTTTTGTGGTTCTGTTTATAAAAACTACATCTTGTTACATCGCGCGATTATGCGAGAGCTCGTGGGTCTTCGTGACTCCCGCTGTCCGGCAGAACTGCACTGCTCTGCACAGCAAACGCAGCCGGTGGGTGTTGACGGACGGCGGAGCAGGCAGCGGATAACCAGCACAGCTGCTCCGCAACAGACATGCATCCAGTGGAATTCTGGCGTGAGGGCATGCTACTTATAGGTGAAGGTGTGAAGGTAAACACATTAGTGAAAATGCATGTGTTTGGAATGTACTGAGCATTCAGCTGGATAAATGAGACTTGGATTATACTGCACAAGTTGTGTGAGAGTTTGTAAACCTATGTTTTCAGTTTTGCTGTTGATGATCATGGTCCCTAAATGGTCATGAAGATTTTACGCCTTTTTTGGATCCTCCCCACACTGTGGAAGCATGCAGGAAAACAAAGTTTTCTTCACAAATTCAATGAAAGTGAATTTGTAAGTTACTGATATAAAAATGGTCATTTTGCAGGTGAAGTATTGTTCAAACATGGTAGAGCATTTCTGAAACAACATTTAGACAAGGACACTAAAATATCAAAAGGTGATTATCAGTCCAGTCAATACAACCTAAAGTGATATGGCTTGATTTACCCTGAATGTATATCACATAAAGAAAATATGAACCAAGGCTGAATATGCTAACTGGGTTTGGGCCAGGTCTCCTGGAGAAAAAAGGCAAGCATCACAGTGCTGTCAAAATTCACAGGACTCTGTTGCAGAGGCGGCCATTGGCACAGGACCCCTGTGAACTGCTGCGGTCAGTTAGCGAGCCTGTCAGTCACAAAACAGTCAGTCAGCCAGCATGCCAGTCAATTAAAGGCCTTTCCAAGTACTTAGAGTCGGCAGGCAACACTTCATCAGCATGAAATTCAGTTTGTGCGTCATAACTCTATCAGTCAGACAGGTTTGGTCAGACAAATAGCCACCCACTTAGCCAAGCAGTTCATTACAGCAGAAAAGCAGGCTTTTCAGTTAACCAGGCTGTCATTCAGGCAAAGGTTCTACAGTGGTTTTCAGGATTTTGGCCTCCTAAAGAAAAAGTTCAAGAATTTAGGAAATACAACCATCTATTTTCTTGATGAGGGTTTGATGAGAAGATCTAAACCACTCATATCTATCTGTTAAATATAAAGCTAGTGCCAAGAGACACATAGTGTATAGATTAGCATAAAGACTGAAAGCAGGAGGAAACAGCTAGCCTAAGCATATTTCAGAATATGTCAAACTATTTCTCTAAAGTTTTTCAACACTGTCATATCTGAACAACAGAACAGGTCAATTTCCACTGACTTCCAAAACAACATATATGACTGTCCCCAAAG